GGTGTGATAGGTGGGGCAGGGGTCAGCTCCAGAGGAGCCTTAAGTGCACTTAGAGGCTCGTGTGCTCTCCAGCCTCTCGGGGCAAAGGAGGAAGCAACTGCTCATTTTCTTCTCAGGACTTTTTCACTTTAGGCGGGGGCAAAAAGAAAGTATAACCCTTTAAAATGCCTCCTGATACCCATCAGGGGTTTGCTTTCTGTAACCTGGGTTTGGTAAGTCTTCACCAGTGCTTCTTGATGATCAGATAAAGGAAAGCAAAATGATGGCAAGGCATCCTCCTTCACGTTCTGCTGAGCCTGCACACGAGAGTAAAGATGCACTGTTGTTTCCTTTGGTTGTTGTAGGGACCCTCGTTATTTCTTCATTAGGGTGAGCTATTCAGATTTACTTAGTGCAGCTCTTCTGCTCCCCCCCCCCTTTTTCTTTTTTTTTTTTTTTTGTTCTTCAGAGGAAGCCCTATGCTAAGGCAGCTGTGAGGGAAGGTGTCTCTCTGTTTTTGTTTTGACCTGAAAATTAGTGGATTACTCTTTCAATGCAACTTTCCAAAGCAAAGATGCGAATGTTGAGGTTTTTATTAATGAACTGACACCTCCGGTGAATGGCTTCTTCACCCTGGGGTGCTCACCTCCTGTTTTGTGGCAGGAGGAGCACTTGCAGCTGATGAAAGGCTGGCAAGATCCCTCTGGGACAGCTTAAGAGCACCTACCTTTGCCATATAGAAAGGTTTACTTTAGGGCATTTGAAAAATGCCTCATTAGTGGTTGATGACTTAGCAGGGCAGCTCTTGTTGCGAAAACCTACAGCTGCCCCTTGCCAGGAGCTCAGGGTGGCTCTTCTCGCCTGTCCCTTTTATTCCTTGGTTCCAAGCGCTTTCCCTTGATACTCACCAGCAGTAGGTTATCTGAGTCACCGCAGGCAGCCTCTCACTCACATTATTACAGTGTTTGTTTACCAGGCTGGCTCTGCCTGCTTTGCAGAGCAAAAAAGCATGCAAAAACTCCATGTTTTAGGTGTCAGGATGGGTGTTTAACAATTCCTGCTCTTCCTGCTGTTCTTCCTCCCCAGCCCTGCCACACTCTGCACTTGTTCTTTCTCACCTGCTACAGCCACCTTCCTTTGTGGCTGTCCTTACCTTGACTGATACTATGACAAAGCAGTAACTCCTGTGTAAAGACTGGAGCAGGTGTGCAAGTATTTCAGGAACCTTTCTGATTACTGCTGGATTTGCTGCCTTTTTCTGCTCGCTGCCTGTTGTGATGTGGCAGTTTCTCTTTCCACGCAGTGTGTGTTGGCAGATGTTGGCATTAAGTGCAGCTTTCCTCTCATTTCTACTGTAGCTCTTGATGTATCCATTGGAACCAGCTCGGTGTCTAAGCAGACTTTGCTTTTCAAAGTCCCTCTTATTATTGCTGCCTTTCATTCTGTGTCTTTTATTTATCTGTCTGCTTTCCCTGTACTGGAGAGGATGAGTGTTTTTGTGGATGCTTTGCTATGCCCCAAACAGCCAGCGGTCAGCAGAGAGAGAAAAACCTTATTGTGTGACTTTCTCCGTGTTGCTCGCAGGCAGTCCTGTTTGCAGCACTCCTGTGGTGCAGTAGCACGTCTGTTGCCAGCTACACTGCCTGCCATCTTCTCCTCTGGGAGTCTTTGAGAGGCTCCTATGTTTAGTCCTGTGCTGATGTTACCTGGGCTGCTTCCAAGAACAACACAGAACTGCTTCCTCTATTCCTAAAACTGACACAGAATGAAAACTACAGCAGCATTATTTTTAGTTCTGTAAAAGTGCAGCTAAAGCAGCATTGCTAGACTCTGCCTGGCCAGAATTTGCTGTTTCAGATTGTCCCTGATAGGTGGGGAGCGTGTGTGTGTGGTAGATAGTGGTTTAAAGAGCATCTATGTGCTATTCCTTGATGCTTACATTACAGTTTTGGATTGGACCATCAATGCAAATGAGTCTGAAGTCCAAGATTAGTTTCCGGTAAATGTTCATCACGAAACCACTCAGTTAAGGAACAGGAAGAGAAGTGCAGATCATAGCTCAGCTGCACTTGCAGAGCTGGGTGCGTGCATGCAGCTCCTGAATAGCAGAGCTGCTGCAGTTTGAGACCACGGTGGATTTGGCAGGGCTGGGAAAAGCTCGTGACTGCAATAGCAGGAAGAGCTGCAGCTCCTGCCTGAGCTGTATTTGCTGGGCTGTGTGTCACACTGGTGGGGACCAGAGGGGAAAGCTTCCTGCCTGCTTTGTGTTCAATCGTTCTATACTCTGTAAACAGTATGATATACCTGAGCATTTCTAATGTGCAGGATATCCTATGCGCTGTACATCCTCAGGGTGTTTGTATTAAAACATGAAATGCAAATGAGAACTTTTATTGACCAGTACCATGATATCTGCTGTAGCCCTCTCATAGCCACCTGCCCACTTTTCCTTGTTAATTCACTTTCAGTGATCTGGTACCCACAGTACCTCGCAGCAGTCTATGTGATTTGAAAGGAAGGTAAGTGCTTGTGTTCTTGCCCCAGAAATGCAAGCGTTTACCCCACTTTCTTGTTATCAGCATCAGATGGCACACTCTTGGTTTGCGTCCTTTCAGGCTGCTGCCTCTTTGCTGAAGAGTGAGGGAGCAGTGGTCTGGACTCTGTGTGGTTCCATAGCCCTGTATGTTTGCACAATTCAGCACTTAAATCTCCAGGGCTTTCTTTTGTAAAAGGAGGAGTTGATGCTGGAGTCGTGTCTCTGCCTGAACTGATGCATTGCCTAGCACTTAAATCCGGGGGTTTCTGTGTCAAAGTAGCCACAGAGGCAGGATTCGTAACCAAAAATTTGTAACAAGCAGTTGTGGAAATTGTACCACTCTTGTTTAGAATTGCAGATGTTCTACTACTTAGTTGTTATTACTGTTAGCAAAATCCATCCTGTATTATTAAAATTCTACCATAACTGTCTGTGTTCTGTTGCCTCTACAAGCTCATACCAGTTCAAGCCTGCGTAACCTTGGAGCTGAGTAGCCTCCGTTTGTATTGTTCCCAGCCTCTGCTGATTAGAATCTTGTTTCGCAGAAATGACTCGGTATTGTGCTTTGATAAAGTATTTATCCGGCACAGTCAGGACTGGTTTGTTTACCCGATATTATCTAGGTGCTCTAATTCCAGCCAGCAGTCTAAAGTTCACAGGAGGGAAGATGATTTCAGGAAAATAGAGAATCAGACTGGTGATGATGAGTGCAGGGCATTCATGGTAGGGTGCTCAGTCAGCCACCAGGAAAAAGCCTAAAAAGAAAATAGGAAAGCACTAAACAGTTTGTTTTTCTGGCACCTCAGGATGAGATGACCTCAAGTTTGGGCCTTACCACAAAGAAAGCCCTCACGATCCTGAGAGACCAGTTGTCAGCACTTCTGGAGGGGCATCAGAAGGAGCGGAAAAAAGTGACTTCATGGAAGGTGAGGCACCAAACAGCACAAGGTTGGGCACTCAGTCTCCCCTTCTCAAAGTAAAGCTGAAGATTAAACAGAAGTTGGCTGCATTCCCTCCCACACTGCTGCTGCAGGTGTCCGGGTGTAGGACTGCTAAAGTCCTTGGGACCAAAGCAAGAATTACCTACGGGTATGTTTCTCTCAGCAGTTCTCTCCTGGATGCTGGAGCTCTACAGGAGCTTAGCTTCACCTGTGAAGGATCTAAGAGCTTCAAGAGCCACTAATGGCAGTGTGCGTAGGGGTTCCATATCAGGTGGAGAGAAAGAGCTGTGAAGCTCAACAGTCTCCCCTTGTCCACCATGTTTGTCTAGCATGTGCGTTGAATACAAAGTGCTAGTGTTTATGCACAGTACTTAAATGTTAAAAGTGTTCCTCTCTGGGTTAGTGACAATGGGGCAGCCTGGCACAGAAGCCTTTTCATTCTTCCAAGAGAGAGTAAAGTAGAGAGTGTTCACCCAGGCTAGCCAGCTGAGCAACCGTTAGTGCTGTAGCATTTGCATAACTGATCTGGGATGCTCTGTATCATTTTGAGGGGTTTTACAAAGTTGTGCTCATCCTGGAGTGTCAACTGCTGCCTTCACCCTTTCTCACTCTGCTTTTTCAAACGTCTGGCTCTGTATTTCATGAATGCTGACTGTTTGCTGCTCTCCTTTTGTAGGAGGTGTGGAGGAGCAGTTTTCTCTACCATGGTAACCGTTGCTCCTGTTTCCACTGGCCTGGTGCATCTCTGATGCTTCTGGCAGTGCTGTTGCTGCTGTGCTGCTATGGGAGCCAGCCACAGGGGAGGTAAGCAAAACATCCTATGCTGGTTAACTGAAGCAAGGTGGTAGTTTTATGTCGTCTCGACACTGTGTGTGGCTGACATACCAGTGTTGTCCCTCATTCTGTCTAGACATCTAGACATTAGCATACTCATACTGGTAATTCTGTGCCTATAATTCCCTTTCGCAAAACTTCAGCCAACTTAATTCTACTTCTAATAGACCCATAGAGTGTCCTATGGAGAGACTGATATTTTTTTTCTACAGCATTCCTAGATCTTGAAAAATCCTAAGGCATTATCGTAGTTAGGAAGGATTTTGAAACTGGAGAAGTTAGTGGCTCATAGGAGAAGTTACTGTGCTGTCACATGCGCCATAGCATGCCTTGACCGTATTTGTAAGGGTATTTTTTAATTGAGACGAGTCCTTTCAGACTTCTCTGGTGGCATTATTCTAAAGAAGAAGTGTGATCATAGCTCCCCTGCTATTCTTTTTTAGCCATAAGTCTGTGGGATGTAGGAATAAACAATTGAGCAGGTGTGCATTTATCTCTGTGGGTGGCTCGCAGTGTATTCTGCTCATTTACTTAAACCTCATCTGCTTTCTGCTTTCTTCTGTTTTGCTGTGCAAAGCCAAGGTGCTGAGATAGTTAATGCACTGGCACTCTTCCTCCTTCTCCTTTTGGATCTCTTCATGATCGGGCGTCAAGAGAGGCTGAAGTGCAGAGAGGTGGAGAGGAGACTTCAGACAATCATTGATAAGATAAATGGTGAGGTCTCATTCATCTGTCTATTTGCATTAAAGTTTTCCTCCTGTTGGATTTTTCTCCAAACCTGATCACATACGTTACTAATTGAGCTTACTAGCCTTCCCCTATGTTACACAGAAATAAGCTGTGAGAATTGTGTCCTACTCATGCCTGTCCTGTAGAATAGTTACTTTGAGCTGTCATGTGGCCATGTGCTTCCAATCTCTGTGTTATCAGGTAGGCGTCTGTTATGTCTGTGCTTTGGAGTAATTCAAATCCTCAGTATCTTACAAAAATATCTGCCTTGCAGCAGATGATGAGAGAAGAATATGTGGGGTTGTACCACAACATAGAACAGAAGGAAATAAATTACTGTGCGTGAGCATCATCTCAACGGGGGCTTTTGAACCTGAGGAGGCAGTTCATTTCAGTGTGGCATTTTTAAGAACAGCCTTTAGCTTTTCCATTGTACAAGCATGTATTTAAGATTATAAAATGACTATGTTTAGTTGTTAATACTGGGTGGAGAGAGAGGGGAAAAGCCATCAAGAAGAAAGAGAGAGATGATAAAAGATCATGGGAATGGACTGAGCTTAGCACTGGAGGACCTATAGCCACTACAGGATGTAAACTGAGGTATGATTGGCTCCTCCAGAATTGTTATCACTTAATTCTTTCACACTTTGTGCTTTCAGATACACTTGGCAAAGAGGTGAAATGGCCAGACTCCATGTACCCTGACCTTCACATGCCTTATGCCCCATCCTGGTCCCTTCATTGGGCCTACAGGGATGGTCATCTTGTCAACCTGCCTGTGAGCCTGTTAGTAGAAGGAGATGTCATTGCTTTGAGGCCAGGTCAGGAGTCATTTGCTTCTCTGAGAGGAATTAAGGTAACTTGCTTTCTTATTTCCCTGGCCTGTAACAATATATTTCCCAGGATTTTCTTGCTAATACTCTAATTCCCAATGTACAGATTATTGGAGTGTTTGATTTCTTCTGACCTTGAAAATAGCTTGAAATTCCAGTTCAGTCAAGGACGGTGCTTCGTTAGACAGACTGCATCTTCTCTATGAACTCTTAAACCCAATGGACAGGAGACGCTAATGTGATACCAAAGCACCATATTTCCATCTCTTCTGGGTTGAGGGGAAATTGTAATGTGCTGCTAAATTATAAGGGAAGTGAATCTATCCAGTAGGATGATATGACATACAACCCTCCTAACTTTATCCTGTTTTTTATGTGCAGAAATAAAGTTTGTCTGCTTTGACCTTCTCCTTACTACTGATTTATTATAGAAGAAGATAATATAAAATACCTGGGGTAGAAGTAAATCAACAAATCAATTACAAGATCTATGCGAAGATTTTGCTCCTTGAAGAAGATTGGAAAAACTTTAAAGCTTGAAATTTACCTTTGTTGGTTTTTATTGTAACTTTCACTTCAAATGCCAATTTTCATGAAATAACCAGATGTGCTTGAACACAAGCATTTCATTTTGCTTCAAGTTTGAAGCAACAGTTTAGCTAATGAATTTTTGAGAGCTGAGAGAGGGAACTATGACAAACACGTACTGTGTCACTTGCAGTGGGAGGGATCCTGCTGGACTAAACCTCCAGTCCCTCGCAGCAGGATTCCACCGAGGCCCCGACTGTACAGCCTTTGGGCTCTCTGACTTCTTTTCTAGGATGATGAGCACATAGTTCTGGAGCCAGGAGATCTGTTTCCACCTTTCTCACCTCCGCCCTCCCCAAGGGGAGAAGTGAAGAAGGGACCTCAGAACCCTCAGCTGTATCGTCTCTTCCGTGTCTTGAAGACCCCAATAATAGATAATGTTAGGTGGGTTAAATACAGTGCACAAGGCCTGCACAGCTTGTCTACGTCCTTGTTGCTGCCTTGTGTCGGCAAAGAATGAGACTTACCAGTCCAGGACAGGAATTTTCAAATATGCTGTGCTGTGTTTTCTTTCTTACCTGGGAATGCTATGAGTCTCTTACTGTCTGTCTTCAGTTGTCCTCCTTAACTGGTAGGTTAGGCTAATATATAAAACCACATATATGCTAAGTATTACTATTCAGCTCATTACCTTCCAACTAAATTTGAACAATGCAGGGAGGTCACAGATTTCATGCATTTGATGCAACCAGTGATATGACACCCTTTGGTCAACTGGAGATACAGATATCTGAATGTCCTGTTGGAGTTTCAGTGCACATTGGGGCCATGGAGCCTTCCTGTTAAGCGGGTGATGAGACCTGGGGAGTTTGCTCAACAGCACTGCAAATTTACCATGGCAAGTGCAACACTTATTGTAGAACTTGGCTTCTCTTTTGAAGGTCATCCCTCATAGCATAGGGTGAACGTAGTGTTCTAACCAGGTCTATTAGGAGGTTTATATCTGAGGAAAGTGCAGGGTTAGGGTCTTGGTTGCTGAAATCTCAAGCTGTTTTCCATTTTTTAGGTGGTGTCTGGAAATGGCTTTGTCACGTCCTGTGACAGCCCTGGATAATGAGAGATTCACTGTACAGTCAGTGATGCTGAAATATGCTGTCCCTATTGTACTGGTAGGTCTCATTTCAAGCCTTTGTTGTTGAATATAACCATGTTTTGTCAATAAAAGTGAAGAATTTGCAGCCATCAACAGGAAATTATGGCCAGGCCCTAACTCATGCAGCTGACTCTGTGTGTACCTTGGGTAGTTCAGAGAAGCAAAGATGCTGAGCCATCTAGCAGTGAGAGTGGAGGGAGGAACTGCAGCAGCAGACCAAGTATATCTTCCAGAATTTCCCAGGGCTGAGAATGTTACAAGGCAGTGAAAACTCCTTCGCTACAAGTACTAGTAGTTAGCTGACAGTATCATCTCTGTTTGAATTGCAGGCTGGCTTCCTGATCACCAATGCTGTGCGCTTCATTTTCAAAGCTCCTGGAATTGCTTCTTGGCAGTACACTCTTCTTCAGCTACAGGTAAAGGGGAGCTTTGAGCTCCACTACACCTCCTCCCCAAGCACCCCTGAGACTGATTTCCTCCCTCAGCGACTTGCTTCATCCCATGACAGCATCCTATGCACGGCCTTGTGCATGCTGGATCCAGGAGCTCTCAGTGAAGCAGGACAACAGCTCTACTCTGGCCATTCCTCCTAGACTGCCCTTTATCTTGTTTGCTCTCTCTCACTTGCCATTTATGTGTGTATATATATATATATGGTATCCTTTGCCTTTAAACTTGAAAGAGTTTATGCCAAATTCAGCAGGAAAACCAGCTGTAAGTTGGTGTGATTTATTCATGGCCTTCTTCATTACAAACCCCTAAGGGTGTGTGTGTCTCCCGTCCTGTGTTTCTCCCTGTGTTGCACTGCTTCCAGTGCAAGCAGTCTCCTTCCTTCCTGCCATTGCCTTTTACCCATCCTCTCACTGTGGTGGAAAAGATGTCATGTGAGAGGTCTGACTTCTTGTTGTCTCTGTGCTTGCTGGTGATTACAAATGTTTTTTCAGGTGAATGGTGTCCTACCCATCCTTCCATTGCTCTTTCCCATCCTGTGGATTCTTGCTACAGCCTTTGGAGAAGCCAGAGTCTTGGCCCAGATGAGCAAGGCCTCATCCACCTCACTGGTAGGTATCTCTCCACATCAAACCATTGCAGGGAAAAGGGCAGGAGATGAGAAGGGCTCTGTGAAGTGAGCACAATGAATTCAGCAGATGTGTCCACTTGTAAAAGCTTGTTGGATCTTTGGTTGCTCCCAGCTATGCCCTCTCCCTGGAGCACATTGTGGCTTCTTCTTGAACAGATGTTTTAATTTTTTCAACCTGTGTACAGATATCCCAAGGTGATAGGAAGCTCCAGTGATTCCATAAATCTCTTCAAGGCATGTGCTTTCTGTCAGCTAAATACAATCTGTCAGATGAGTTAACATGGAGATAAATGCCCTGTGGTGGCTGCAACTAGGGAACATTTAGCCACTGAGAAGGAATGGGATACATGAGATTCTCTGCAATCCCCTGTTTTAACATGCGGGCTGAACAGCCGTTTCTTGAGGCTCTGGGGCTTCACTTGCAGGCATGGCCTTTGCAGTGGGTCAGAGAGTAGGAGAAATTTCTGGTGGTTGTGCTGGTTTGGGGAGTGAAGTTTGGTAGTCTGATGGGGGTGTGATCTGGAACTGGGTGCGCCAATGGGTGTCTCTTGCTCTCGCCTGGTGGCAGTGTTGGTGAGACGCACTGTGCTATGTTTGTCTTCTGTGCTGACTTCTGTTATGCCTGTACTTGGACAGTGTTTCTCTCTCCTTCTTGTCCTTTCTTGGCCTCTGTGGCCCTGGGTCTGTGTTTTATATTCTTTTTCCTATAGGTTGTATATGACTAAGCTGCCTGTGTCCTGGGAGGGAGGACACGTTACCTCCCTCAGTGGAGTTTGCACCTTTACCATCTCTTTTCAGTGTTTTCTCCACTTTACCTCTCCCACGCATTCTCAGCATCACTTGGTTTCTGTCTTTGGAACCTTCCTCTTTCCCTTCACACCTTGCTGTTTGGCTGGGAAAAGCCAGAGCTCCTTGGCTTCCCTGCTTCATCATTCTCAACATACCCATTTGCCCTGTCACTCATACTTGCACCTTCCTTGTGTTCTTTCCTGTCTTCTCCTTTTTCTTGTCCAGGCAACTCAGTCTGTCCAGCCAGCTCTTTCTGTGACATTTCAAACATGATCCTCCATCCTTGCTGCTGCAGAACAGCCGTTGTGATGTGCCTTGGTCATTCTCCCCCTTAACTAGGGCAGTCTTCTCTCGGCCTCTCTATTTCACTCCTTCCTTCTCTCTACTCTGTTCAAAATGTAGCAGGTAAGACTCTCTTCCTCTCCAATCACTTGGCCTGTGTGATGCTCTTCTCCACCTTCTGCCCCCTCCCATCGTGTTCAAGCTGTTTGATTCCCAGTTTTTCAAGGCCATAGGTGACCTTGTGACTGGTTAGTCAGACATCCTGCAGGGTAAAAACCAGTGCCCCCGCAAATGAGCCACTGCCTCAAGTTGCTACAGTTGGACTACAGCAGCATTCCTTTTAGAAGGGAATTTGATGTTAGTTTGAAAACATTTGTACTGCCTTTGATAGGTTGTTTCAGTGATTATTTACCTTCACTGCTAAAAATGGGCATTCTATGTTAGTGGGAATTTTTGTAGTGTCTGATTTCCAGCCCTTGGAACACTTACATCTTTTGTCTCCTAGATTTAAGAGCACATCAATCAAATTTCTGGTCTGTTATAGCTGCTCACTTTCCCTTTTACCGTCTCTTTGGTTAAGTAAACAGTTTAAGCACCTTGAGTCACTATAAGCATATTTTCCAACCCTCTAATCTTTCTCTTGGCTTTCCTCTTAGCTTTCTCCAGTGTTTCAGGATCACTGTAGAATTATGACTCTCCAAACCCCACAAAATATTCCAGTAACAGTTGTGCTTGTGCTAAATTTCAGAATAATTTGGACTTTCTACTCTACGTTCCCTTGCTAGTGCAACAAAGGCTCATATTAGATCTTTTAGCCACTGCTTTAAATGGCCAGGTTTTGTTCAGCTGATAATCTACAGTTACTGCTTTCTAAGACAGAGTCCTCATCCTGTAAGTCCAACCTTAATTTTTGCTCCTAGGTATGCAACCTTCCTTTTGTGCCTGTTGGTGTGCATGTTTTTGCTTATTTATCAAGCAAACCATATTGTTCTGTAACAGTGGTCTGTTCTCTTTATTATTGGACCCTGCCCCAAACTTTGTATAGTTTACAGTCTGTATCAGTAATGTTTTTTTAGTTTTCTTTCAGGCTATTAACAAAATACCCAGAATTTGTCCCTGCTTGAGCTAGTAATGCATCCTATGGCAAATAATTCCTCAGTTTCTGTTCCATTTGGAGATAGTCTATTTCTAATATATTTAATATGGGCCCTATTTCTCCAGTATTACTCAAGTTTTTGTTAGAAAACCAGTAAAGCATTTTGTATCAAGTCAAAGTACCAAGTGGTCTACGTCAAAAGCATTACTTTTATCAGTCAAATTTGTAATTTTGTCAAAAAAGATATCACAATAGTTTGATGAGATTTATTACTCATATACTTGTGGTGTTTGGCACTGGTTGTATTATTCCGTGTCTTTTCTTTTAATTGAGTCTCATATTAGCTGCTCTGTTACTCTGTCTGAAATCAAAGTCTGTCTGGGGTCCTGTGGTAACTTGGTTTGTTCTCCTTACCCTTTTTAGGCATTGGCACCACATTAGCTTTCTTCCATTGCACTGGGACTTAATCCATGCTTCAAGCCTTGTGCAGAATCAGCAGTAACAGTCAGAAAGTTGTCCAGACCTGCTAATTTAAACATATTTACTTTCTGTAGCTACTGTTAGAATGGGAAATATTTCATATTTATCATATGGTATGATTATATCACTGCATAAGGAATAGCAATATTTATGTTACACGTCTGCCTTGCCTGCAATATCATTTGCAATTTCACTGTCTTCAACAAGCAGTGGACTGGTTTTAATTACCTACTGGTATACTTTTTCTTATTTTTATGTTAATTTTTACTTCTATTTTCACTTCCACTCAAAACTGGACTTTTTTATTTTTACTATGGGATTGTTGCTTTTTAAAATTTTAAAAATATTGTTTATACTTGTGGTGTTTGGCACTGGTTGTATTATTCCGTGTCTTTTCTTTTAATTGAGTCTCATATTAGCTGCTCTGTTACTCTGTCTGAAATCAAAGTCTGTCTGGGGTCCTGTGGTAACTTGGTTTGTTCTCCTTACCCTTTTTAGGCATTGGCACCACATTAGCTTTCTTCCATTGCACTGGGACTTAATCCATGCTTCAAGCCTTGTGCAGAATCAGCAGTAACAGTCAGAAAGTTGTCCAGACCTGCTAATTTAAACATATTTACTTTCTGTAGCTACTGTTAGAATGGGAAATATTTCATATTTATCATATGGTATGATTATATCACTGCATAAGGAATAGCAATATTTATGTTACACGTCTGCCTTGCCTGCAATATCATTTGCAATTTCACTGTCTTCAACAAGCAGTGGACTGGTTTTAATTACCTACTGGTATACTTTTTCTTATTTTTATGTTAATTTTTACTTCTATTTTCACTTCCACTCAAAACTGGACTTTTTTATTTTTACTATGGGATTGTTGCTTTTTAAAATTTTAATAAAATATTGTTAAACAGTTCCTAATTATCCTTCATAGTTCTCAGTTTAAATTATTTCTGACAAATTTGTTTTGGCTTTTTTCAGCTTTGTTAAACTGATCCTTTTTAAAGTGCCAGATATATGCATTATTATTATTTGGGGTGTCATTTTATTTACATACAAATGTAATTGCCATATTCACTTATGCTTATGAATATACTTAAATTTAAACTGTTTTTCAAAATTACATCTACTGTGGAATTCCTTTGTGCTGGATGCACAGATTTTGAGTTAGTAAATTTCTCGGTGTAATTCCAAGAGCGCCATGGTAGTGCCCTGCTATAATTTCTTTTCATTTCCTATCCACATCCCATTCACGTCATCTCATTCCTCTGTGTCCATTGTTTTCGAAGCATCTGCTTTTACAACCACTCTTCTAGCTCCCTTCTTTTAGCTGACCCATACAGCTTAAAAACAGATCAGTCAATCCTGGCTCTTTCTGTCTAAAAATAACCATCCAGAAAGAGCCTCCTCTGGGTCTAATTGCTATTATTTTCTCTGTAGACATTTAGGTAATGACTGTGTGTTCTTCTGTGATGTACAGCACCAAGCACTTTGACTGTGCTTCACAAGTAGATAAAGACATAGTCCATTAAAGACTTAATTGCTTTGATGAATTATTGGTCTGCCTTGGTATAGCGATTCCCACAGAGCAGGACTCCTGCTTTCTTCTCTCTGAAGGCACAGTATTTAGGGAAGGATGTTCCTCATGGCACATTTCTGAGCACAATTATAGTAACTGGTCTCTTCTCTTGCTGCAGCTTGCTAAGTTTTCAGAGGACACTCTCAGCAGCTACACAGAGATGGTATCTTCTCAGGTACTATTATTATGAATTGTTTTCTTCCATCTTCACTGCAGAACTTCATGATATCCTTTCCCTTCCTCTCTGATCTCCTGCTTGTTCCTAGACCCTTTTTACTTGTGTCAGTTGTCCATTGTCACTCATTTGCTGCTTTAATTGGCTATGCATGCAGGTTGCATGTCTTTCCCCTACACCTTCCCATGTAAATGCTGCTCTGCTGACCAGAGATTGTGGTGACTTTGATACTGAGTCCAGTTGTGCTTTTCTGAATATTGCAAATGATTTGAAATCAACTTTTTCTGTCCTGAAGAAAGTACCTCTTTCAAGTCCTCCTGTTCGAGGAGTAAAATAAACTTTTTATAGTGTGTGTCAGAAAGAAGGGAAGTATTTTGCTTGTACCAGAAAAACCTCCTTCTTCAAGCCAAAACTAAAGAACAGAGGGGATGGCGGTCAGCACCAAGACCAAATGTGAAGAGGGGAACATGGGATGTTCAGGCTAAAAGTCTGATCCTGTTTCATAGGCTCCTTAACAAGCTTAAGCACATTACTAGTGCTTCCAAAGCTGGGGCAAATAAACATTCAGAAGACCTTTTTCTGGGGGAGGAACTGCATCTGGCTACTCTATAAATTGCATCATCCAGATTAAACAGGTGGGTAGAGGAAAGACACTTTTCTGTCTAATCTGGCATTAAGATTCCCCTTTCCATAAGGAGGCAGATGGACTCCAGGAGTGATTAAAAATCCCTAGATATTATAAGAATCAATTCATATCTCCTTGCTCCCAGCCACACAGAGGAGTGCACATGGATGCACACACACACGCTTCCTTTGCTGAATATTTTGTTGTCTTCCTATGCCAGTTCATCATTTAGCTGAGATGTTTTTCAGGTGTTAAATGGGAGTGATTTGAGCTGACCTTCCTCGTTGAAAAGATCTGCTTCTTTCCTTTTGTACCTATGTAACATTTTTGCTTATGAGAAACAGGTTTAAATAAGCTTTTTTTCTTCCTGGTGGTAGCTCATGATTGTTTTGCATTATGGCTGTACTAACACTTAGGATCTAAGGAACTTGATCTAAGGAGCTTTGGGAGAAGTGCTCTGCTGTGACAGCATTCCAGAACAACAGCTAAAAAGCAGTAAAATAACACTGTAATGCAAACCTGGTTTTGCTGGCTTTAGGAGTGCACAGAGAAAAACATACAGCTCTGGTGCTTGGATTGATTGCTGCCATCCAGATTCCCTCTGGAACATTTTCATGTGGAAGATGAAGGGTGCCAACTTGACATTTTAATTTTGCAAAATATCCCCTTCTTTCAGTTTATTACCATGTTGATTACAATTCATTTGTAATGATGGAGTAGTCAGGGCACCTTGGCTTTATTTCCAACATTGTCACTGCCTCAGTAAGTAACCTTGGGCAAGTCACCTCACCACAGTGACTCCATTTACCCGATTTGCAGCATGGTGATCGTAAGCTTAAGGCCTCAAACTCTATAATCCAAGGGGATGAGAGTTACTTTATGAAAAAATACTAAGACATAACAATTGATTCACCCTGAATGAAATCACTTCAGAGTTCCTTCCTGTTTTTGGATAGACAAAGGTAGTTTCAGTGAATTCTCAGTTCAACAATCAGACTGTCTGATAGCATCCTCTGGAAGGGGGAAGAAATGCCTTTCCCTTGAGAACATCAGCACCATATCAGTTAACAGGTTCCCATGGAGATCGATGTTTATCTTACAGTGTATCACTGTGTTGAACCTCAAAGCAGGTAATGTCATACTCCCTTTCTTCCTTCTCTCCCCTCATCTTTCACTGAAGGAGTCTTTAATCGGTTGATGTCCTGTGCTTTCCTCGGCAGGAAATGATACGCTGTATCTGGAGCCACTTCCTCTGTGTTTTAAAAGGCAAATCCCCAACTCTGAGCTTCACTTCCAGCTTGCTTCATAGTCTGGGATCCGTCACTGTGAGTATTGCTGGGTTGTCAGAAGGAGGAGCCCTACGTGGTTGCTTAATTTGCATCGTTCATGTCGTCCTTCCCTGAGCATAGACTGTTAGCAGTCGGTTCACTGTGCTGGAATTAGAAACCCTTCAGGCACCTGTCTTTGTAGAAGAGTTTATAACTGTCTTGTCTTGTCCAAGCAGCACATTCACAGGCTAAAACAATGGTTAGAGATACTCTGTGGCATCTAACAGGATGCCTGTATTTTCCAGCTCTGGTTCTGGTACCATAACCCTCTTGACTCCTGTTCAAGAACCAGCTCGTTCAGATCCTGATAAGGTACTAGCTGGTGAAACTGGTTGAGTAGTTGCTTCCTTCCCGTGGTCTTCATGCCTAGTTTTGCAATATCCTGAGATAAAATTGGTGTTAAACAACCCATCAATCCTGCTAGAGCAAAGAATTCTCAGATTTCTTGGAGGGTTATTAGGTGCGGTTTCCTAAGACAGAAGGTTGGCAAAGGAGAGACTTGTATGTCTTCCCATGTGTTTATTAAATTTGTGACATTTACAATTTACATGTGACATGCATGAACACTGAGACATGTTTTCACTGAGATTTTGCTTTCTTGGGGGTGTTGTGGGATGTTCTAGGTGCTCTGCTGTGTAGACAAGCAGGGGATTCTTTCCTGGCCAAACCCCAGCCCAGAGACTGTTCTGTTCTTCAGTGGGAAGGTGGAACCACCTCATGATAGCCATGAAGATCTGACTGATGAGCTCTCTACACGGTCCTTCTGCCATCCTGAAATGGAAGACGAGGTGAGGGACATGTAATCCATAATGTAGTATATTGGCTCTAATCATAGTTTGACTGACACGCACAACGTGGTATTATAGAGGGGGCCCTTTGCTTGTAGAGAAGTCCTGTGCCATAATTCTTTGCTTAAAAGATAAAGAAGCAGCAAGGATGAGATCCTCTTCTACGGGAGTCCTAAAGCAGCCTGTGAATCAGTAGTGGCTCATGTTCAACCACTAAATCACCACTGTTCATTCTGTTGGTCTCTTGCAGCCCCATGAAAGAGATGCTTTGCTCTCTGGCCCCCTGGCAGACACAGTCCACATGACCAATGAGCAAGAGAGGAACAACTGGTCTAGTGACCCTCCAAAGGCTCCCGATGCCCATGCCCACCGAAAGCCAAACAGCAGAAGCAAACATCCCTCTGGGTCCAATGTGAGTTTTAGCAAGGATACGGAGGGTGGAGAGGAGGAACATACTCAGGTAAGACATACTGAAGGGGCACACAATTAGTCTTTTGTGGAGCTATAAGACAGACTTAAACCCGTAGAGTCTCCCCTCTTGGGAATTTAATTGGGAATTCCCTGTGGATTCTAGGCTCAAGCTGTGTTCATTGTAACCAATTAGAATTTTCCTGTCTGTTGGACCAGGTTGTTGGTGACAGTGAGGTGTTGGCTTGTGAGGCTGAAGACTTTGTGTGTGACTACCACCTTGAGATGCTTAGCCTGTCCCAAGACCAGCAGAATCCCTCCTGCATCCAGTTTGATGACTCCAACTGGCAGATGCACTTGAATTCCCTCAAGCCTCTGGGCCTGAATGTGCTGCTCAACCTCTGCAATGCCAGTGTGACAGAGTGTCTGTGCCGCTTCTCTGACCACCTCTGTAACATTGCCCTCCAGGAAACTCACAATGCCGTGCTGCCTGTCCATGTGCCCTGGGGCCTCTGTGAGCTTGCCAGGCTAATAGGTAAGGAGAAGTTGGATGAGCGGACACAGAGAAATCAGAGCTGTCAATAGTCACTTAATCCTTAGAGAGCACAAGAAAAATGTTTCCCCAGTCCTGGTTGCTGAGAAGGTGGAATTACAGAGCTGACTGTTGTTGTTCGGTTGCCAAAAGAGTCTATTAAAGAGATTGCTTTTGGCAAGTTCTGACATGATAGACACTATCAAAGGAACAAAAGTCATCAAGGAAATTTCCAGCCAGTCCTGGCTAGGCTTGGTATTCTTCTGGCTTAAGTATGCCAATCTCGTCAGGAGACAAAGAATAGCTGCTAATGGACAGATAGCTGTCCTGTCTTTACAGTAATGCTTTATCAGGAGTTTGGGTATAAATGATGTGAGGTACCTCAGCTCATTTTATAGATGGGAAAACCGAGGCATAGGGGAGGTAAGAGGTTAGAGGCAACACTAGGATTAAAATCTGGAAACTCTTGAACTCACTTCTGTGCCTGTCCTTCAATGTCACAGTTCCTGTCTTCTATGAACCAGAAGCATGAAAGCTGTAATTACTAATAACATCTAGTCCTTCTGAACATTTTTCATCATAGATCTTGAGCCATCTTGGTGTAGATGCACAGTGAGCACAGCTCACCTACCTATTGCTGGGGAGGTGTCAAAAGAGCGCAGGCAAAATGAGCGCAGGAGCAGGAGAGAGGACCTTTCTTTTGCTTTGGGTAGAGCCTAATTTTTCTCCTCCTTATGTTCACGTTTCAGGTTTCACACCAGGTGCTAAAGATCTTTTCAAGCAGGAGAACTATTTGGCCTTGTACCGCTTGCCAAGTGATGAGATGGTTAAGGAAACAATCCTGGGGAAGCTTTCATCGATCACCAAGAGAAGACCACCCCTGAGCCACATGATTAACCTGTTCGTGAAGGACACCACTACCAGTAAGGCTGCTCCTTTCTTTGGGCATCCACTTGGTATGGGAGGATCTTTTCCACAGGGAGCATAGAAAATGTCAGACTGGAATAGTCTGGAGTCCCTGTGGGGTGATAGCCTTGCTCTGCCTATGGCCAGTACAGATATGCTCAACAAACCTTAGTGATCAGTGCTATGGCATACTGAGGGGGGGAGGAATTCTTCGCAGCTCTGGCTCAGTCCAGAATCATAAATAACTTTTAAAATTTATCTTAGATAGCACATAGTAAACCTATTTTCTGGGACCAAATGGCAGTGCAGAGCAAGGTGGAGGTTTTACTGGGTTTTGAATAGACTTCATTATGGTAGTGAAACTGATACTGCACAGGGTTGAATATTACTCAGGGTTTTCGCTAGTGATGCTCATCCTTCTGATAACCCAAATCATAAATCATTATCTTAGTGAGTTGTCTAGTATATTATATTGCATACTCTATTTCTATATTGCATACTAATAAGAAATCACAGAAATCCCATGCAAACTCATGGTGACGATGAATACAACACCTGAAGCCATGCTGACTTCTCCACTCCTTCTACTCCTTCCTATTCTAATAGGAATGGGTTAGGATGGAAAGGATGTACAGCTGGGCACCATGAGGTCTTAAAGCACCTCAGCAAGATTTAACAGCTTGCCTGTCTCAGAGCTCTTAGTCTCTTCATAATACCTTAAATCGACTGAACTTGGCTCTCTGGAGTTGAAATATGTTCAATATTGAATCTGAAATATGATTATTATGCTGGCCAGATATTTACCAGGTAAACTGTCTTCTCTTGCCCCATTCTTCTTAAATTTGTATCTTAATCTGGGGAGGAGCTTTTTCATTTGTCCTGATTGCTGCTATCTTGCCTTTGTGAGCAAGGATTTTTCTGATGCTGAGATTCTTAGTGTAGGGAAAAACCTTTAATGTTGCCTCATTTCAACTCCTTATCCTCATTTTTAAATGGTTTAGTTTAGAGGCTGGAGCTCAGACGAATACATGTGTGACCTGGATTATGCTGTCTAGAGTAAATTCTAAGAGGAATTTTGCCAGTGGGGTTAGTTAACCATTGGAACACCTCTTACGTGATAGTCTTGTCCCTTGAAACTTTCTAAAATGTGTACAGCCAGAAATAATGGATTATGCAGATAATATTGGGTGAAATCAAATGGCTCTGTTTATGCAGAAGAGTCAGACCAGATGTTCATAACTAACCTCTCTTGATACATTAGTTGTGAATAAATCTTGGAATCTACCCACTGCCATGACGTGCTGAAGTCAAAGGGAGATACATAATAAATTATACAGCTGTAGCAGAAATAGGAGGTAGCTTATCGGTATGTTCCCTTGCTATTCCATTGAAATATGTGTCTTGCCATCTGGCAGTGTTCATCCCAAATCCATAGTAACCACATGGAAATGAGGGGCTCACCGGCGTCTTCAGTGGAGTAAAATGGCTTGATACCACCTCTGTTTTCCCTTGCTATAGCTGCACTCTTTGATTCCTTTCGCTCTGTCTCACTGGCTCAACTCCAGCAGCTTGGTTCTTCCTAACGAGTCCCAGCAGTCATGAATGGCTAGTCATACTCCCTGTCCTATTTGTTAGTTTTCTCCCTTCTGCCAGAGAAATCCTGACCTTCAAGTTCATGATTTAGGAAGGGAGGAGGCTGAGCTAACCTTACTGGCAATGACAGCTGAATGAACTCCTTCCAGTTTATGGTGTGTGCTGTCACTGTCATTTACCCCTTAGAAGGGTTGTTGTATGGGATGCTGATGATACTGAATGGAAAATGGATTGCAATTGCTGTCAGGCGTGAACGTAGATATGTGTGTGCGTGTGGTCATTTGCAAGCTCTTGCTCTGTGTCCAGAGCATAGATTTTGCATGAATCAATAAAGAATTCTTGTTCCCTCTTTCCTAGCAAGGACTATCTGACTGTAGGAGCAAGGTGGGAAGGATTAGGTGTTTATACAATAAAATTAACCAGAGCTCTGCACAAGTACTCCTTTGTGTCCCTGAAAGAGGCTCCTTCTTTCACACACAGCTCCTGTTCGTCTTGGAGGTTTGTTATGCTGATAAACTTGGTGTGTGATGACTATTTATAGCAGAAAGCAGAGAGCTGCTATGTTTTGGAAAATCCTCCGGTGTTCCTGAAGGTCCCTGCCTGGTTTGTGCGAGTGCATATTCTTGGCTCTTGATTTCACCAGCTAGCGTGAGCATTTGCAATCAGCAACAATGCCTGCAAGAAGCCTTTGGGCTCATTTTTCCTGGCAGTGATATTTTTTCATTAGATCAGCTTTGAAGCTGTTGGGGGCAAAGTCACAGAGCAGCTGGAGGAGGGAACCTAGACAGTGAAGTCTACGTGCGTGCAATGTTAATGTATCAGTGCTAATGAAAGGGAGCAGGAAGTGTGGAGGGGGAGGCAACCTCGCATCCTTTAACTTGCGTCCTGTGCCTGGGACCTGCATCAGACAAGTGACATCATACACCTTTGGGAAACACTTTTTAACACCCCTGTCTACAAGAGGGAATGAACGATTTTAAGTCTCTATTAAAGAGTAAAATAGTGTGTGTGGGGGGGGGAGGAACCAGGACAAGCTGTGGTGTCCATTGATTTTCAGTTCTTCCCTGATCACAACACGAGTTATTTTTTTAGTCTGTTGTGTTGAACGTTTGACCCATCCTGATTTAACATGTTTTCAGGACCCTTTGTGAAACAGGCTGCTATCTAACGGGTCACACTGTTAAATTATCTTCTGCTACTTGAATGGACAGTATTCAAGAATAGCTCTTACCCTTTAGATCCACGCCTGGCCTAAAATTGCATGCACTTTCCAATGTAGGCAGACTTTGATCCCCATAGGCTCATCACTGGTGCTTGTACTCTCATGAGAAAAGGCACACAGGAGTATATTTTCTTCTGCTCTGTTGGATACAGGAGCAAGATATTATCCCACCTTCTGTAGAAGCAGGATTGTTACACAGTGTAAGGGGAGAATAGGAACTGACTACGTGGCTCACATTTTATCACAGCCTTGTTTGAACTCACGGTAGGACAAATAGCAGCTGAATACATATCATCCAGTCTTGAATAATTTCTCGATGGAGACTGAAGACTTTCAACAGAGGAAAGGGGATATCTGGAGTGCATCAAGGCAGTTTGCAGGAATGCTTGCTCTTAACAAATAAGGGAGCAGTTGGTATGATATCCCTTTCCTGGGAGCCTGTATGTGTGATGCTGACTCGTTATTCTCCTACACTTCAGGCACTGAGCAGATGTTTTCTCATGGGACAGCTGACATCATCCTCGAGGCCTGCACAGACTTTTGGGACGGTACCGATATCTATCCCCTCTCTGGCTCTGACAGGTGGGCAGCTTTGTCATTTGGTGCATTCAGGAGCTCCAGATAAATTGCAGAGGGAACCAGGTCACTCTCTGTTAAAATTCCCTTTACTGATGCTTGTTAAGCTATTTAATAGAAGCTTCAAGTAGGTTATGAACATGAGCCATCTCTGCTTATAATTAATTGTTATAATTATAGCAATGTAAGAGATTAGATAGCAACAAGCAATCTGTTGGGACTGTAAGACTAAGCCACTTCTTACTGTATCTGTTAACATATTAGCCTCTTATAAGTGGACTCTGACTGTACTATGTAGTAGGACTGTGAATTATAATCAGGTCATATGCTGGTGGCAGAGAATTATTTTTGTTGTTCAAGACAAATGCCTTGTCTTACATGAAATGCTAAGTGATCAATTCTACCTGCTGTTGACAGATTCAAACCAGTCCACCACAATACATCACACCCTTTTAGTCCTGCTGCAATATCTGACAGTGTCTGTTGCATTTTCATCTATAGGCTAAATTTCTGTTCCTGCTAGCAGAGCAGACCAATAATGTTTAGTTTCATTGAATAGCAGCACATTGTTCTTCTAAGTCTGCTTATCCTCAGGTGTAAGAAAACTACCACTGGTCCTTTTTGGAATATTTATCATCTTAACAGCCAATGAAAAATCCCATGTATAGTCTAATTTGTTACCTTTTTGGGTTCAACATAGAGAAAGAACTTTACACTATTCCAGTGACTGAATATTGACTAAACGGAGACTTCACATACAGCTCCTGGGACCCACACTCTAAAAGGGGATAGGAGAAAAGTCTGTTACTGTAACTGTCTCTGCCATAGATACTATTGTCAGAGTTGTCAGTTCCTTCCTTGGTGTTTATCTCCCTACAGATAAATTCTCTCTGATGAATTAAGCTTCTGCTGTCATGCAGTGAACTTCCTTGGAGTCATCTGGCAGCCATATAGAGCATATTATATTAATAAGTGTATTCAAAGAGTACTGTGTTCATACTCGTCAATCTGTCTGATGAGCAAACAGAAACATTCACCACTGCCCTTGTTGGAATATGTGATTTTTGTTGTCCTGTAGTGCCTGCAGCTTAGAGAATGCAGAAACAGTAAGGAAAGGCTTTTTCAGAGTCTCTGACCATTCCTCATGGAATACATTTTTCCAAATACCCAATTGGTGATTTCTACATTGAACTACAGTGTACGTTGTCAGAAATATGGCACGTTTCTGCTAACTTTGTTTTTTGTCTCTTCCGCATAGGAAGAAGGTCTTAGATTTCTACCAGCGAGCCTGCCTCTCAGGATACTGTTCTGCCTTTGCATACAAGCCAATGCATTGTGCCTTGTCCTCCCAACTCAATGGCAAGTGCATAGAACTGGTGCAGGTCCCTGGGCAGAGTGCTATCTTCACATGCTGTGATCTCCCTGGGACGACCCCCATCAAACAGAGCAGTCGGAGGAATAGCTGGAGCTCAGATGGTATGTGTCTTCTGTGCTGTCTATAATAAGGTCTGCTGGTGGGCCAGGTGCTTGCTTTCTGATCAGTCTAGAGCTGTAAGAACATTGTTATTCAGAGTAGCAGATGGAAACTGAGAACTAAGGGTTTCTGAAGTAGATGCATTTCCAGAGGAAGTAATGATGTAGCAGCTGGTGGGTATGTTTCTAGTTAAGTTATTGAAGCTTGCAGAAAAATTCCTCCGCTTGTGGGAAGTCTGTTTCTTAAAGCAGGCAGCTGAGAGTCAAGACTTCTGGGTATTTCGGTACTTGGTTTGCTGTTTGTCTAATTTTATGGAAATCACATATGTTGGGTTTTTGAAAAGAATTAATGTATGGTGGTATGCGACTATTCTCCCTTGATGGATTTTGTTGCTGTGCTGAAGGAACTGATTGCCACTAAGCGAATTGTACCTCTCCTCCAGAACAGCAATGGAAACTGAGAAACAAGCACATACCATTACATAGCCTCCAGGAGGCTTTTTTAGAAAACCAGTCTTAATCTCTTTCTGTCTTGGTCTCCCATTCTGTAAAATGTGAATAATAGGGTTTCCAACAGCTGGGAGGCAGTTGTGACTGAGTGTTTTCAAAACACTTTTCAGTCCCACCTGTGGCAAGCTTTGTAACTGTGTGAAGTGTTTTATTATTTTGTTCCTCATGCTACTGCAGCTCCCATTCACCACAGGCTGATCTGGTGATGGTGAAGGAACCCTGTCAAAGAGCCTTTGCAGGCTTTTTGGGAGTGTCTGCAATGTCACTGGAGGGAACATGATCCAGTTCCTTTGCATCAGCCTCTCATACTCTGATGCCACTCTGCCTCAGCCAGGCTCAACATGTTGTTTAAGCACAGTATGATGTGTTTAAAATGCACATGTGAACATTATGCAGCATATGCCCTTTACCTTTCTGCCCCAGTTCCTTGTGACTGATCCCTGTCTTCTGTTTTGTCTTTTTCCTTTCCATGCTCGCTGTTTCACGCTTGTATTCTTGGTCGCATATGTGGCGATGTCCTGAAACTGCTTCTGTGATGGGGTATGCTGGGACAAATGGATGTCTTTTCATCTTTCCTCCTGTATATGTGTGTGTGTATATCTGCATATTTCTGTGTATCTGGGTACTACGTCCTTGGGTGTTATCTTGGTGGCCTCTCCCACCATGTGTGCTGTTGTCTGATGCACATGTGGCCCCTTGTGTCTCAATGTGATTGCGTGTTGTTTGCATGCCTGAAGAAGGGATTGGGGAAGTGATGGAGAAGGAAGACTGTATCCAGGCTCTGAGCGGACAGATCTTCATGGGAATGGTCTCATCTCAGTATCAGGCCCGTCTTGACATTGTCCGCCTCATTGATGGATTGGTCAATGCCTGCATTCGTTTTGTCTACTTCTCCCTGGAAGATGAGCTCAAAAGCAAGGTAAACTGTCTTTGCTGAACTCCCTGAACTTGCATGTCCCCTGGTTGTTTAACTGGACAGTTTAGCTCCAGTGCAATCTAAGGTTAATCTGATTCAGCTAGCTAATGGGTCCAAAAGGTACCTACGCTCCAATATGGCATTGATCTGCAATACTCCAGCCTGGACAGCTACACTAAAATCTTTTGTCTGCTCACCTACAGGTGTTTGCTGAGAAGATGGGTCTTGAGACTGGCTGGAATTGCCACATATCTTTAACGCCTAATGGTGATGTGCCTGGCTCAGAGATCCCTCCCTCTAGCCCCAGTCATGCTGGCTCTTTGCACGATGATCTACATCAGGGTGAGAGAACTGCACCTAAGCCACTTTGAATGCCACGTGTTTCCTGGATGGTTCTTTTAAACCCATTCATAGGTTCCTGTGTCCTCACCAGATACCTGATCCTTCAGATCTTTGAGCACAAAACTGGATGGGCCTGAGGTGTGTGTGTGTGAGCAAGAGCGCCTTACATTTATAGCCTTTCTACCCAGTCAGTACTGCAGTTGTTGGAAACAAACATCCTTCTGTGCACCAGCTGCCATGATTTTACAACTGCTCATTAGTGCTTTTGGTTCTTGCTGGGGCCCTGGTCAAGCCACTGAGGGTCTCTTGCCTGTGCATGACTCTTTTTTCTTACTTCAAGTGGGATTTCTTTACTCTCTTCTTCCCCTAGAAGAAGAAAGAGAGCGGAACAGATAAACTATTGTGTCTCAAAAGAGCAGAGACTAGGTGCACGTATCTACCTCTGAGCAGATTAGTCATCTAAAAATACTGCATTTTAGATGACTGAGTGGGATCTAAGTGTTGCTAACCTAGAAAATCAGGCCTCACATTTCCTGGCGTCTGCAGCACCATGTGAATATACCATGTGGGTGGCACAGGGGTAGCAGAGGCAGGTTTGTGCTTATTGTTTATGCTGCTTCTCTCTGCTCCAGTTTCTCGAGATGATGTGGAGGGGCTTCTGCTGATGGAAGAGGAAGGGCACTCAGATCTCATCAGTTTTCAGCCAACAGACAGCGATATCCCCAGCTTCCTGGAGGACTGTAACAGGGTGAGGCCCCCTTTCCCTACACACCTTGTGCTGTTGTCACGGTCAGCAGTATCACCTCATTACTCCCAGAGGGAATTCCTCTTCAAAGGATATTGATTGACAGGTTTGTGCTGGGAGTCCTGATTTCCCCCACCTTCTTCCAGCTTGGTATCTAGAGCCTGGGAAGTTTGGGATTCTCTCAGTTAATCACTTTTGCTGAACAGGTCTTTTCTTTGGAGTTTAGGAATGGAGATGACAATACATGGCGTAGCCTTGAGAGCCGCATCTCAGTCTGTCTGAGTCCCCTTCCCGTGTGCCGGGCAGGGAGTGGGAACATCCCCACATTCCATGCAGACAGAAGAAACTTTGTCTCTTCTCCAACTGTGAGCCATGGCTGGTGCTGCCCAGTAGTCAGAGTGCGGGAAAAGCTCTTCATGCCGGTTGACGGTTGGACTCGATGATCTTAGAGGTCTTTTCCAACCTCAATGATTCTATGATCTTTAGGACATACATTTTCATTTGTCTCAAAAAAGGTTAATCTGATTCAGCTAGCTAATGGGTCCAAAAGGTACCTACGCTCCAATATGGCATTGATCTGCAATACTCCAGCCTGGACAGCTACACTAAAATCTTTTGTCTGCTCACCTACAGGTGTTTGCTGAGAAGATGGGTCTTGAGACTGGCTGGAATTGCCACATATCTTTAACGCCTAATGGTGATGTGCCTGGCTCAGAGATCCCTCCCTCTAGCCCCAGTCATGCTGGCTCTTTGCACGATGATCTACATCAGGGTGAGAGAACTGCACCTAAGCCACTTTGAATGCCACGTGTTTCCTGGATGGTTCTTTTAAACCCATTCATAGGTTCCTGTGTCCTCACCAGATACCTGATCCTTCAGATCTTTGAGCACAAAACTGGATGGGCCTGAGGTGTGTGTGTGTGAGCAAGAGCGCCTTACATTTATAGCCTTTCTACCCAGTCAGTACTGCAGTTGTTGGAAACAAACATCCTTCTGTGCACCAGCTGCCATGATTTTACAACTGCTCATTAGTGCTTTTGGTTCTTGCTGGGGCCCTGGTCAAGCCACTGAGGGTCTCTTGCCTGTGCATGACTCTTTTTTCTTACTTCAAGTGGGATTTCTTTACTCTCTTCTTCCCCTAGAAGAAGAAAGAGAGCGGAACAGATAAACTATTGTGTCTCAAAAGAGCAGAGACTAGGTGCACGTATCTACCTCTGAGCAGATTAGTCATCTAAAAATACTGCATTTTAGATGACTGAGTGGGATCTAAGTGTTGCTAACCTAGAAAATCAGGCCTCACATTTCCTGGCGTCTGCAGCACCATGTGAATATACCATGTGGGTGGCACAGGGGTAGCAGAGGCAGGTTTGTGCTTATTGTTTATGCTGCTTCTCTCTGCTCCAGTTTCTCGAGATGATGTGGAGGGGCTTCTGCTGATGGAAGAGGAAGGGCACTCAGATCTCATCAGTTTTCAGCCAACAGACAGCGATATCCCCAGCTTCCTGGAGGACTGTAACAGGGTGAGGCCCCCTTTCCCTACACACCTTGTGCTGTTGTCACGGTCAGCAGTATCACCTCATTACTCCCAGAGGGAATTCCTCTTCAAAGGATATTGATTGACAGGTTTGTGCTGGGAGTCCTGATTTCCCCCACCTTCTTCCAGCTTGGTATCTAGAGCCTGGGAAGTTTGGGATTCTCTCAGTTAATCACTTTTGCTGAACAGGTCTTTTCTTTGGAGTTTAGGAATGGAGATGACAATACATGGCGTAGCCTTGAGAGCCGCATCTCAGTCTGTCTGAGTCCCCTTCCCGTGTGCCGGGCAGGGAGTGGGAACATCCCCACATTCCATGCAGACAGAAGAAACTTTGTCTCTTCTCCAACTGTGAGCCATGGCTGGTGCTGCCCAGTAGTCAGAGTGCGGGAAAAGCTCTTCATGCCTCATAAAGAACTCAGACGTGCTCAGCAGAGGTTACAGGAATATCAGAGATAGATGTAGATTTAAAAAAAAAAAACAATAAACCTATTAGACCTGATTTTAGAAAGCAAGAACCCTTCCCTTGCTGTGTGTTGATATGGCTGCAATTGAAACGGATCTAGTTGCTGGGAGACTGCACATAGTCTCTGACTAGATTCTCCACACAGGTAACAAGTTCTTAGAAATCCTTGAGCACAGGTTTATCATGCTGATCTTACAAACCATGAGGGTGAGCACAGACAGCTTGGTGTGTCAGTGTAGAACTTTAGCAGAAGACTTTTTACAGTGGCTTGGGAAAGCCAGCTTCTGTCTGCTGGGACATCAATTTGTATCTGATCTTGAAGTTGCATAATTCTGGGAATCATAATTCTCATTTTAGCAGTTCCCTCTGAAATGCCTCTCCCTCACACACACGTGCACTCCTCTGCTTAGTGTCTTCTTTCTCTTTTTCAGGCCAAACTCCCACGGGGGATCCACCAGGTGAGACCTCACCTGCAGAACATAGACAACGTGCCTTTGCTGGTGCCCCTCTTCACAGACTGTACCGCAGAGAGTAAGTGGCACAGAGCCTGGGTCTGTCCTCCTATTGCCCATGAATACCTTCCCCATCCATTTGCTCTGGCTCATCTGGGTGTGGACATGGGTGAAGGGAAGGGGATACAGTCCAGAAATCTAGAAGGGCATTTTGATATTAATGACCCTCTACTGCTACCTGTGGGAAGCCAGATGTTAACTTTGTTTTAATGCAACTGTTCCCTAGCTACAGAGTTGGGCTAAGAACCACTCCTTTCAATTTGCATCCGTAAGAGACACAAAAGCAAACATCCAAAATGCTTCTGCCTTTTTTTATTAAATAAGCATTATCAGTGTGCTAGGAGACTTTGATCTCTGCTCACAACCCTTGCTGCCTTATATAACTTGGAAATCACTTCCCAGAAGTGTTTTCCTCTGGCAGTTGCTGTTAACACCTCCTCCTGCTTTGCAGAGTTTTTGATTGCAGAGACCAGAAAGGACAAAATTTCTTTATCTCTCTGAGTGATACTATTTTATCTAAGAAAGGGGCTGAGTGCTCAGCTGGCTAATACCTGTCCAGTCTACAGTAAAAGTGCTAAGCATCATTATAATTCGGCATTTTAGGTACCTCTGGGCACAGTTTACAGTGCCAGTGAGAACCAGTTACAGCCCAGTCTGCCTAAGCATTCAGTGCCCAGTAGATTTCCTCTCTCTTTTTGACAGAAGTGGCAGTTCCCCACTTCATCTAACCCCTCGCTGAGCTGCAGATCTGGGTGAACCAGTCATTTAGATAAGTTGTTTACACAGGAATCTGCAGATGGTGGGTTTGTTTTGGTTTGGTTTTTTTTTTGCCTGGAGCATTCTAGAAAATTCCTATACACACAGAGCACTGTGCACAGGGCTACAGAATAAAAATTGGATCAAACACCAGCTTTGATTTAGAGGCCCCAGGAGGATGTTGATAAAAAGATTGATGAAGGCTAGAGGTAGTGGTGGGAGTGCAGGAACAGGGGCTGGCTCTGAGTATGGCTGAGTATGGCACTGGTTTTGGAGCAGTTTGTTATATTCCCTCTGTTCCTTTAGACTTGGAACAGTAGCAATGTGCTGCTGAGCAGAATTTAAAATTGTGTATTTATTTTAGGCTTGAATTATTTAGATTTATTTAATTTCTGCTGTTTTCTAACAAGACCATTTGATGCTGAAGCCATCTTGTATTATATACTGAGGCTATACCTACAGCTCTGGTCTGAGAGAGATGTGCTAGAGATGCAAATCTCTGTGTCACGGTTCTGTGAATCACAGCTCAGTTCCTGCAGGAGGCAGGTATACAGAGCACTTGGACTGCAATTAATTAGCTATCTAATTGTGTACTTTGACTTTGGATCTCACTATACATAACTGATGAATATCAGTTGGGGTAATTTTAAAAGATATGACTGCTTGTTATCCAGACTGGAAAGGGTGTGTGAAACACTGCATCTTTGTGTGCATAATGAGATAATGCACTGTGTTTCTCCTTCTGTCCCTTTGCAGCCATGTGTGAGATGATCAAGATCATGCAGGAGTATGGGGAGGTGACTTGCTGTCTGGGAAGCTCTGCCAACCTGCGGAATAGTTGCCTCTTCCTGCAGAGTGATATCAGGTGGGGCAGGATCCAGACTCCTCCAGCTGCCTTTGCCTTGAGCTTAGCGAGTGCCCAGCCATGGGTCACACCAGACCTGTGGATTGTACAGGGTGATGCTCACAATTGTTCTGTCCATTATTAGCTGCATTTGTCTTCATAAGAAATATTTGGGTGGTATTGGGTGGGATGATTACCTAGATCCCTTGACACACACAGATATTTCCATCTTTGAAAGGAAGCTGTTACTCTTGCATGCTGAACTACTGTGTACCAACTGGCATTACAGATGCTTCTCATTGGGTGAAAGAGTGGAAATGCCCCTCTGGATCAACCAATTTGATGACTTTGAGCCACAAACCCAAATATGCTTATTTATTTCTCTGGGAATAACTGAAAGTCTAGGGAGATTGATCCTAAATTCATGTCACAGCTCAGGACTTCTGTACCAGTGAGGTAGATAGAGGTGGCGTGGCACAGCACAGCATGACTTTACAAGCTGGACTGCAGTGAAACATAGTTTCTCCTCTGGGATGAGGACTTTTGCTAATCCTTCTGTGTTGTCCTTGCAGTATAGCACTGGACCCTCTCTATCCATCTCGCTGCTCCTGGGAGACTTTTGGCTATGCCACCAGCACCACCATGACTCATGTCTCTGATGAGCTCACCCCGCTGCAGCTCTCAGGGCAACTCAACAGCCTGCCTTGCTCCATGTCCTTCCGCCAAGAAGAGAGTACTAGTATTATCAGGCTTATAGAGCAGGTAAGCCAGGCATATCCCCTCTCTAGTACTCACCCCTCTGCCTGCAGCTCACAAAGAGCAAATCCAGGAGCTGATGTGAGCATTCTTGTTGAGTTGCCTGCAGTAAGCTGCCAGCATTAGCTTTGCTTGTGTCTCCTGTCCTGTGTCCAGGAAGCACAACAGAAATACTACCTGCCTGGCCCTACCGGTCCAAGGTGTAGGAGATGGTTTAGGAATGGTGCCTTGTGGCAACAGGACATGAATATTGTTCAACTGGATAAAGTATAAACTTGCAGAGATCCCCAGCCAGACAACAATGCAGTGCTAGGGAGAATTGTTATCCCAGAAAAGCCAGGAGGTTTAAACAAACTTACCCCTTGGCTAAATTCCGCCTTTCCGTCACAACCGCTACACCTAGGCAGGAGACCTTCCCCTTTTGCTTACAATGTGTCCAGATCCTCTCCCTTCCCACTTCCCCTGCAGACCACAGGTTTTGCCCCTGCCTGCCAATAATTGCTCTTGGCTGGTAACTGCTCACATCACAGTGAGGGCTCTGAGGGCTTGTGCTTCCTTCCAGGCCAGGCATGCAACATATGGGATCCGCAAGTGTTTCCTCTTCCTGCTGCAGTGCCAGCTGACCTTGGTGGTCATTCAGGTGAGTCCTGGCCTGGCTGAGCATTAGCTCAGACGATGGGAGCGCTAGCATGGATATGGGTGGCTGCTGTGGGGCAGCCTTGCAAGAGAGGAAGGTGGCCTTCAGTCAGGTTTACACAGCATGTTTGGGGAAGTTACAGACATGTCATGAGACCGTGTGATCTCAGCCTACGTTGACCCTTCTCCCTGACCCTCCTACAGAGGTTTCTTTCTAGCCCCTTTTTCCCTGGAGAAAAGCATCCCCTGCAGCACCTGCCCCAGCAACCCTGAACATGTGGAGAGGCTGTGCAGTGGCAGCCTAGTTACCAGCTCATCCTAGTGCTTTGTGGGAGGACGGTGGCATCTTGGATAACAATACTGTCCTAGCACTGCTCACACTATTCACTCTGGATTGTTCCTGTCCAGTTCCTCTCCTGCCTGGTGCAGCTGCCCCCCATCCTCAGTACCACAGACATTGTGTGGCTCTCCTGTTTCTGCTACCCACTGCTCAGGTGAGTCTATCAGACAGGGTGGAATCTTCTGCCTCCCACCCACAGGATGCACAGACCAGTCCCCCAGCCTCACTGTGTCCAGATTAAAAGAAAGCCGACATCACCCGCAGCATGCTAAGGCAGCTGCAAAGATTATTCCAAGCACCTGCTTTGACAAGGTGCTTGGAAACACAGACAGGAGCATTTGTGTACTGCTGTGTTACCCTTGCCTGCTGTCTGAGAGCTGCTATGAATCTTGTGGCTTGAACCTCCAGCTGAAAATCATTTCTAATCCTGATACTGTTGCGCTGGCTGGAGTGCGATGGAGAGCCTAGGGTGTCAGCCAGAGGCCAAGGTACCATGGGTGGGTTTTTCCCCATCACACATTTGGAGGTCACCTCTCTCCCTGTCTGCACCTGCCATGAATGACACCTTTTACAGTATATGCTTACAGCAGTGGCCAGATAAGTGCCAATGCTCCAAGCAGTCTGAGGAGGTTATTTGGGTTCAAATGTTAGACACAGACAAAAAAGCAATAGTTCTGGTGCCTGAACTTGTTAGCAAGAGACTAACTTACCTTTCTCCAGCATTTCGCTCCTGGGCAAGCCTCCCCACAGCTCCATCATGACCATGGCAACAGGAAAAAACTTGACTTCCATTCCTAAGAAGGTAGGTAACCCATCAAATTAAAATTGTTCACACATTTTTCTCTTCTACTTTGTCCCAGTGTTGATGCATTGCTGAGGCCCTGTGCCTTCCCAGCTCCCTTGGTAAATTGATCCATGGTATGAGCCATGCTATTCAAAGCCTGGCGTGGACAGGAAGGGAATCCCTTAGTGCCAGCATGCCCACAGGGCAGATCCACAGTGCAGCATCTTATCTGTACTACAGCTTGTCTCTTGCAGCCACTGATTCCCTGATGGTTCGTGCAGGGGAGGTTGGGCCAATGACATGCCCACGTCATCCTCCTGCCTCTCCCTTATTCACAGACTCAGCATTACTTCCTGTTCTGCTTCCTGCTGAAATTCAGCCTGACCATCTGCTCCTGCCTCATCTGCTTCGGGTTCACACTGCATGAGTCCTGCAAAGAGGTGAACACTACCAGCCTCAATCTCACAGTGTGCTCTTCCATCATGCTGCACAGGTGAGGAACTGAGCCTGGCACACACCCCCCTCACCCTGCAGGGCCTGTTGCTCTTGCCCTTCCCAGGTAGGACTGATTCCCCTCTAACAAACTTCAGACTCTTGCATGATCCTGCTATAATGGCTATACAGAGGGCTGGGTGCTCTCCCTATAGCCTTGGCAATTGCATCTTTGGGGTACTTGCTCACTGTTGCCTCCTGGTACTAGGACAGCCTGACTCCAAGCTCACACTTAGTTCTCTCAGCTATCAGAGGAGGACGTGGCCCTGGTGGGAACAGGTCAGACAGTAAGTCCCCACTGTTGACTTCTTTCCTGTGTCCTCTCATTTACTAGCAATGCTGATGGTGCTCCTGACTGGTTTGGGACATTTTCCAATGCTCTTCTTGTAGCCCAGAAGCTCACAGCTGGCCTGATTGTTTTACACACAGGTAAGTCCCTGTTCCCAGACCCCTCTTCCCCACTCTGCGGGGAAACTTGCATCCTTTGCCTCTTTCTTTGCTCCCTATGCCAGAGCACAAACTCCCTGGTAGAAGCAGACACTGCAGTGGTCTCTCAGCACAGGCATAAAGCCCCTTGTCTTACTAAAGACTGCCCTAACAGATTAAAGACAGCACCTTCAGAGCTGATTCTGCCTTCTACCAGCCTGGTGAAGTGCTGACTCCTTTCCAGTCTCACCAGAAGAGCAGCATCCCTCTTTGCCTTCTTGCAAATCAGCTAGCAGCATCCTGCAGCTCTCCAAAAATATTCCCTGCCTCAGAAGTCCTTTATATGCCTGCTGCCATTTTGTGAAGCACCCCATTTCCTTCCCCAAAACAGCACTGGTGCAGCTGTGACTACCCTGGAGCTGGAAGCCTTTTTAAACCCTCTGGAGGGGCGGGGAGCCAGCCCCTGGCTGACCCTCATCACCTGCGCATGATTGCCTGGCAGAGTAGGTCCAGCTGCTCTCTGATGACCTTAAAGGGTCTCTGCTCCCTTTCCACCATGTCATGTGGTGCTGTGCCTTGGTGCCAGGCAGAGCATTGCATGTTGAGATGTGTGGGGTGTCCAGGCCAACAGAAACGCTTCCTGATTTGAGAGGCAGCCCTGCTTTGGAGAGAGGTAGTGTGCATTACTGTTTTTTGTCCTTCAGATCACTGAGGCTAGGCAGGGATGCTCTGCCTGGCAGGTGGGAAATGCTGTTCTGAAGAGCCCAAGCAAAAGCTAAGCAAATGCTCTGTCCTGTGCAGACAGCTCTGGGTCTCTGGCTAAATATCTTTCTCTAGGCTGGAGCTTTCCACTGGTGCAGGCCTGCAGTGACCCAGAGACAAGGGCACCCCCACTGCGCCCCGTTCCCTAGTTCTGGTCCTTTGCCTGATCTGCTTTAGCATGCCAGGCTGCGAACCAACCTTGGCATCCCCACAGTGAGTAATCCTGTGCAGTACTACTACTGCACTCCCCACCGCCCTGCATATTTGGGGACTTGGAATTGCTGTGGGGAGTCTGGTCTGAAAGGACCTTGAATGAAAGGTTGGTTTCAGGAACATAAACCCCATGTGCCTTTTGGAGTAATAGCTGTTTGTGTATATTGTAAAGTGTTTTATCTCTGTGTGATGCTAAATAACCCCCTCTTCCATTTGTCCCCATAGTGTTCATATCCATCACCCATGTCCATCGCACCAAGCCATTGTGGAAGAAGAGCCCCCTCTCCAACCGGTGGTGGACGCTCACTGTGGCTGTTGTGTGAGTATCCCCAGGCCCTGATGAGGCACTCCAGAACGCTGGAGGAAGGAGGGCTCTAGACCTGCTCCAGCACCAGTTTGCTGGTGCTGAGGAAAATGATAGTATGTGGCAATTGTTCCTCACTGTTGAATTGGTGAAGGGTCTCTGTTGTGAACTCAGGAGTGTTACACCTGGGCCTGAACCCTGATCTGCAGATCCTGGGAAGCTTGTTAGCTCTGCTGAGATTTGCTTTGTCTGTTTATGATCTTAGATTGCTGGGGCAAGTGGCACAGACTGTGCTGGACCTGAAACTCTGGGAAAACCTCAATTCTTCATTGACCTTTAACCACGTTTCCATCTCCCCTGTCTCATGGCTTCTGGGTTTTCTTTCCTTGGTCCTTGTGGTTATCATCAATGAGATTGTCAAGCTGCATGAAATCAGGTATGGGGGTAGTAGGGAAGGTGGGGAGAAAGGGCTGGAGCCTCACTCCAGCCTGGCCTTGAGAAAAATTATGCACAGTGGGGTGGGGGAATAAAAAGGAAAAGATGATTGCATTGTGTAAATCACCTGGCTATTGTGTGCAAGCTCATGTTCCACCTCTCAGAGAGGAAGCGCAGGGGAGGAAAGAGGGTCAGGGAAGGGCAGTGGCAGTGATTGGGAGCAGGAAGGGAGACCAAAATTTCCTTATCTCAAACCAGTGGGAGGGAGACAGCCAAGGTCTATAAAATACCAGTATGGAATTGGAGAGGGCTGTTCTCTCCATCTTGTCCCATGAGGACAGAGAGGCATTGAATCACAGCAGAGGAAATACGTCTTCACACAGTGCCTGGACTGTGGGACTCATTTTCACGGGAAGTGGCTGAAGCCAAGAATTAGTAACAGGCAAAGTGACTGGCTGTTCTTCCTAGCACAGGGAGCAGCTGGAGCTGGGAGTTAACGCTAATAAGCATTGATTCAGGAAATGGGTTGGTGAGGAAAAGCAGCGGGGATTACAGGGAACCCTGATGGGGACAGAGCTGCTGTCTCTGTTCCTGGGAAGGATTTCGGGACCTTTCTCTGCTGTGTCTGGTGACTCTGGAGATGGGACTTGACTGGATGGGGTAGGACTGAGACCATGGGTTGCTCTCTGGATTTGATTCCCCTCCCAGGGTACCACAGGGCCCAGGCCAGGGTCTTCCCTGCTTCTTGGGGCTGTGCAGCTCAGGAATCACCATGGGGCAGCCTTGCTTGCCTTTCACCCCTCCACATGCTGACTCCTTTCTTCTGCCTTCTCCAGGGTCCGGGTCCGTTACCAAAAGAGGCAGAAGTTGCAGTTTGAAACAAAGCTGGGGATGAATTCACCATTTTAAACACTCCCAGCTTGAGTTCCCTGGAGCCAAGGCCACATAGCCGCATCCTGCACTGGGAGTGGCTGCACCAAAGGATCAGGGATTTTTCCCTCACACATGCAAACCAGACAGCCTCCTTGCAAAACTACATCAGCACCTTCCTGGGGGCCTCAGGCAGGGCACTGCTATCCGGATCCCCCAGCAGGTATGCAGTCCCTCCCTAGCCTGCTAGGGTACTCTCAAGGGAGCCTACAAGCTCTAGTGGCTGTTCAGGCTGCTCTTCCTTTATTTATTTGTTACTAGAAGTTTTTGGTAGTATCATGGTGATGCTGAAATGAAGTGACTCCTTCCCCCTGTGTGAGCAGATGGGTTTCCTAGACCTGGCAGGAGAATCTGGGCCCAGCAGGGGAGACATAGGGCTGCTGAAGCAAGAGATCTCTATTGAAAGTCATTTTGTTTTTCCATCTCTGCATGCTCACCTGATGTGTGTGTGCATGCCTGTGCATGCCCTCACCCACCTCCCTGTCCCTGTGTCCTGGGGCAAAGGAGCCAACTCTCTTGCAGCTCCAGGAGTGCTGGGTGCCAGGTGAGGACTGGAGCTCACTTTCCCAAGGGTACACTGGGAAGGGTCTCTGGCAGGGTGCTGGGAAAGCCCCTGCGATGGCCAGGTTGTGCCAGGCCTGCCCTCTAGCGTTGTTGCTGTAGCCATATGCCGGCTGTTGAGTGCTTCAAAAGAGGGATGAGACAGGGCTTTAAGAAAAGCTGTCTGCATTTGACCCTGGTGATCTGGTGCAGAGGGCAGTTCTGCCTGCCTGCAGGGAGTCAGCATGGCTCAGCTTCCTCCAGCCCTATTGAACCAGCTCTCATCTGCTTTAACAACCCCCAGAGAGATTTATAACTGTCCTCATTTTTGTGATTCGAATTGCTGTTCTGCTTCAGTAAAATGCCTGCTTGAGAGGGCCATAGCTAGAAATAAAACCTGAGACCTGCCTATCCTGCCGTGGAGGGAGGGGGACATCTTTCCAGGCAGGATGTCTGCATCTTGCAGTTGTGACTAGCATGGAGCTGGTGGACGGCTCCTTCTCCAGTCCTGGGATTGTGCTGCATCTGGTACTTGCTCTCCAAGGCACAGGACCTGACCAGGTGTGGCTGGGCCGCCGCCGGGGCCCGGCCCCCCCCCCCCCCGCCCCCTCATGTGTTTAGAAGTCTCTCCCCTCCATGCTGCTGCCCTCACATCTGTTCCCTGTTTTTATGGAGGTCTCTTCTTCATTTGACTGGGGGAAACCTTCCCCTGAGGGCTGCTGCAAACCAGAATTTGCCCCAATGTGGCACACATGCTCTTGAGACCTGAACAGACCCGAGCTGTACTGGGAATGCTGGTGCCATTGTGGGCTGACAGTCGAGGGCCACACAGGAGCATACAGGCTTGGCTACCTGAATAGTTGCAGCTCATTGAGATGTTGACTCCCTTCCTAGTTCTAAAAACTGACTAAAGCTGGTAAATCCTGGCACTGTTTTTGCTCCCAATATTAACACTACAATATACAGCTGTTACTTCCCCTTTGGTACCCGAGACTAACAAATGGCTGCTGGTCCTTCCCTGGCAGGCAGGGAGCTGGCTGGGACTCCCCAAGCTCTGCCCTGCTGCTCCACTTTGTCTTCCTTATATTTCAGCATAACCAGAGAGCATGCACACTACTGCATGTCTCTAAGCAATACCCTTCTCCCTGCTGTGGGTCTGGTAGGAGAGCAAAGCAGGGGTACAGCTAGCCTCTGAGCACCGATTGAGTATGCTGGAGGGGGGGCAGCTGAGGGTGTTCAGAAGCCTGGACCCTGTTCCTACAGCTGGAGAGTGGATGTTTAGATTCCATGCTGCTGGCAGGGTTGCATGGGATAGGGAGCCAGCAGCTCACTGGGGAAACACAGGGCTGCTCTTCTGCAACACAGCAGTACCAGGCCACTCCTGCTTGCAGAGTGGGTCTGCTCACCTTTGCCAACTAGGCTGAACGATGCCTTCACTCCTCTTGGGCCTGCAGAGCTGCTTGGCTCAGGGAGAACAAGCTGCATCTTTCTCAGTGTCACTTAATTCACTAAATGCCAGCTCCGTATCTGTTATCCCTGGCACCTGAGAAATCAGCTTTTCTTTCTGATGGCAGGGTCTGCTAGCAGGTGGGATATGGTCTCTCTGGCCAAGCTGAGCTGGTGTCGGAGGCAGCACCAAGCTGCTCACTGCTATTCCTGCAGAGCAACCTTCCCCCCTTGCCCCCCCAGACCTTAGCTCTTGCCCTGTGCCACTAACTGTTGTAGGTGATAAAAGGCAGCAGATACTGGGGCTTCTTGCTGGCCACACCTTCCTCTAGAGGAGGCACCTCCAAGGTTTCCTTCTCTGGGTGATCACAAATGTTTATTTTCCTGCACCCTCCTTCCCCTGCTAGACTTGGAGGGAGCCGAGGCGTATGAATGGAGCCTTTTGGATAGTCTCACCAATGCCACCCTTCCCTTGGCCATTGAGGTATCCGAGGGCTAGGGTGCACGGCTTCAGAAGGAAATTTCCTATAGCAAGATGTTTTTAAATGGTGTATATTTTATATTAAATTTTTTGGGATGTATGTAAAAATATTTGATTTGTATTAAAACTTGTAAATTGTATTAAAAAAAAAACAACAAACCCAGACCCACACGCATCCAGTGTATGAACGGCAATAAATGCTTGTCTTGGGTAACACACAGAGTGAGAGTGGGAGGGAGTTTGCACCCAGCAAAGCGAGGAGATAAAAATGTGTATGGCTGTTTGGGTCATAGGGTCCAAGTTACCTGGCTCACCTGTTGTAGGGACACAGCCTGACAGCTTGATGCTCCTGGGACCCGATCCTAGTACTTTTTCCCACTTTTTGCTCAGGTTTGGGCAAATCTGTCCAGCTCTGCATGCCTCTTCCTACAGAGTAACAGACATTACCTCGCGGTCTCCTGGATCCCAGGCAGAGCACACATGGTTGTTCCCAGGCACTGCTTTGGTTGTGGCTGGTGGCACGGTTTGAAGCCCTCTGGATGAAAGGTCAGGGGTGAGCTGGAACAGGCACTATGAGCACTGGAGAAAAGCAGAATGGCGAGACGAGGAGGCCTGGGCTTCTTGTTCTAAGCGACGCAGGACCTGGTGTCACTGTGGCCGCACTCTGACCACCAAGGAAGATGGAGGAGTACTTTGCCTGGCAGGCAGGGGTAGCCATGGCTTCAGACATGCCAAAAGCTGGGCAGTGGGGCACTGGAAGGTAGTGTTGGTCTCCAGCACTCTCACCACGTTACTGCCATGGTGACGAGACTCAAACTGAACATTAACCTCGCTGGAGGCGACAGCAGGACTCTTACCAGGGGACATTAGCTGAGGAAACCCAGATCTTAAGCACTCAAGGGGCAGGATAAAGCTGATCCTCGATGAACTTCAAACAGTGCAGGAGACAAGCTTGTGTGATTTGACATGAAGGAGACAACTAGGCAAAACTATCAAAAGGGTAAAATATGCCCCACTGTTTAATAGAATTTAGTCTTAATGGATGTTAGTGGAAAACAAAACACATGATTAACACAAAGAGAGCAGATGGTTTAAAAATCTGTTGTCAGTCTGGTGATTACATGGGCTGTTTTTTCCCCTCACTGTCTTGCTGCATGGAGCAGGTGCAGCCGGGGTCAGTTAGTCCCAGTTGCAGCGTACATAACTTAAACACCATACAGTAGCTTCAAAATAGAGATCTAGAGCTTAAAAAATAGGCATTCTTCTGCAAAATCAAATGTTTTAAGTCCCTTATTGAAAATGAGAGCAGCATGGTGCTGCCCTCAGGTGGCTCAGACAGCGACAGCTCCACCCCAGTGTCCTCTTATCCCTGACTCTAGAGTACAAGACAGTTCTGGTTAGTAAATATGTATAATAAATCACATTTAAAATATATACATTGGCCTTTAAAAAAAAAAACAAAACACAAACATTTACAGTTTATCAACATTGGAAAAAAATAACTGGGCTTGTCCCAGGTTGACTCATGAGAATAAAAATCAGTTTTAAAAGGTTTCTGCAAACCTTTTGATAAAGTGCCACTGGTTGTAGCTATTTAAAAACAATCGGGTCCATGACGTAGCACTTGCCTGTCAGACACGGTCATTTAAATACACTCAATGTGATGTATAAATCAGAGCAACCAACTAGCCAGGAGAGACATCTTAACTGCCTCAAACTGACCTCAAGTCCCAGCCAACAAGATTTTTTTTTTTTTTCCCCAGGGCTTTTTTGTCTTTGCTTTTCAGCTTAGAAGCCAGGCAGGCATCTCCTGCCTACCTGGCCCGTGGCACAACTGCTGCTCATGAGCAGAGACCCTTGGGAACGTCCAGACGGGCTCTGCTCGCAGGGGCTGCTCCCCTTTCCGTGCAAGGGGGCGAGGGGCTACGAACAGTCCAATTCAGTCACAAACTCCTAAAAGGATTGGGAAGCAACTGCCTCTTCAGCCATCTTCTCTCTTTCCAGTTTGGTTTTGCATTGGTAATGTTTTTAAAAAGGGGGCAATATGTGGATCCCCCCCCCCCCCTTTTTTTTTTTTTTTTTT